CACTTTCCTTGTTATGCAGCTGCTTGACTTCCTTAAAGTGTGTCCAATCCATCGTCAACGCCTTTTTCCCACCTCATCTCTGATTGGGCTCTTCTGCTGTGAGACATGGAACGCATCACAGACTTGCATAAAGATGGTCCATGTTTTCTTGCACAAGTGTCTAAAAAAATTGCTGAGGATCGGATGGACAGACAGGGTCATCAATGTGGAAGTGTTAAGGAAAACAAGACAGATACCAGTCAGAGATGAGGTAGGAAGAAGGCGTGGTGATGGATTAGACATACTCTCAGGAAGTTACGCAGCTGTGCAACAAAGAAAGTGTTGGATTGGATTCCACAGGGTAAGTGATCGAGGGGAAGACCGCATGGAACCTGGAGAGGAATACCAGAAATCGATGTACAAAAAAGTGGGAAGACATGGAATAACATCAAGAGGCTAGAACAAGATAGAGAAAGGTGGAAGGCGTTTCTCCGTGGCATATACCCTGGTGCAGGGTGAGAAAGGCTATGATGATGACGTGTGTGTGTGTGTGTGCGTGTGTGTGTGTGTGTGTGTGTGTGTATGTGTGTGTGTGTGTGTGTGTGTGTGTGTGTTTGTTTGTGCATGTGTGTGCACGCGCATGCGCAATTTATCGCAGAAAATGCGAGCTGCAGAGAGTGCAAAGAAAATTTCAATGATCAGCAGTCTGCCAAGTCGGCATGCTCGTTTCTGAGATTTAATGGTTTCCTTCTTCTACTTTAGTTTTTTTGTTTGTTTTTTACTGAGACTGTAAAAGCCCCCTTTTTTCATTCGTCCCCTTTAAAAAAGGAAAAGATATCCGCCACCTCTTTTCGATTGTTTGAACTGTGATGAAATGTTATCCTCAAGATGGGGCCCATAGAGAGCTGCTTAGAATCAGGCAAACAGTTTGAAAGCAAAAATCTCCATCAGTTAAAATGTTAACTATAAATCGATGAAATTGCTTTCTCCCTTACTGCTCAGCGGAGGACTGTTGTACATGTAAGAAGTTATACGTAGAAATGTCGGCTAGTAACGTTGTCAGAGTTTTTTTTTAAAAATAACGGATTCCAATTATTTCCCCTGGTTGATTTCATACATTCAACGCTGGCGTGTGTCCTCAACGAAATTAAATATCTACGCATGCGCCTTTTCACCCTTAGTGGAGTCAGGAGATGGGGTGGGGTGTGGGGAGCTATGATGAGAAGAGAAGAGACTAAAATAATAGAGAAGTGGAATAGTATTCCTAGGCTCAGAAACATTATCAGAGTGGATAATCATTTCAACTTGGGATTCTCAAGTACAGGTTTTTGGTTCTGTTGTTGTTATTCTGTTTATGTTGTTGTTTCTACGCCTCAATCATCGACGCAATTTGAATATTTCCGACAGGAGGCGGGCTTCCGACTCTGCCTGTCAGGGCTAATTAAGGAAATATGCGAGGTTTACCTTGGAAGGTGAAGCTTGTTTCTGATTTTACC